GCATGACCTGGCACTTTCTTGAAGCGAGCTCCTTCTAGGCCTCCAACCTCGGAGGACGTGGCCCAGAGGTGGGCTCTGGTGTTGGAGCTGCTGGCTGCTTGGCGCGTGTCTGGCGGCAGCCCAGCGTGCCAGTGTAGTCAGTGTAGAGAGCGAAGGTGTCCGTGATATGCCTAGCGGCCATGAGTACGGCGTAGTCTTCGTCGCTTCTTGCCATTTGTGACGGGAGGTGGTTGGCGGCACCGCCCCGACACCCACCCCTTCAAAATGATTCATTATGTGGAGCTCCGCATATGTGCATCTCTTTGCATTGGCATTTCCGCCGTGAATGTCTAGGCGCCAGTAACTTCGAATATAAACGATCTTGGATATTGGCAGCCTGGGAGAGAGTCTAACTGTGAATGACTTTGAGTATGTGTGTGAGCCCCAGTAGTACGAGTAAGTCTATACGCGTGAGCCTGCGCATGGCTAAGCTTAGGGTGAGAGTGTCTGCACGTCAGTGGCCTGAGCATGGCTGAGCGCAACTGAATCCTCCTGGGGTCTCTCGGGGCTTCCTGGGGCTTTCTCAAGTCTCCTGGGTCTCCTGGAGCCTCCTGGGGCTTCCCGGGGCTTCCTGGGGCTCCCTTGAGCCTCTTGGAACTCCTGGGGCCTCCTGCGGCTTCCTGGAGCCTCCTGGGGCCTCTTGGGGACTCCTGGGGCCTCCTGGGGCCTCTTGGGAACTGATCCTCCTTGAGCCTCCTGGGGCTTCCTGATGCCTCCTGGGACCTCCTGTGGCCTCCTGGGGTGGAGCCTGCTGAAGCCTCCTGTGGCATCCTGGGGAGAATCTGTGCCCACGAGTCTGGCCACCAAAACAGGCAAACCGATCGAGACATCCTCAAATTCTGGCCCCCCTTGGGGGCGAACATGAGCGCCTCGCTCGAGACATCCTCCAAATCTGCTCCGAAAGCGGAGGATGTTGGGCATGCAAACAGGCAAACCGCTCGAGACATCCCCGCCATTTCGGCGCGAAAGGAGGCCGTGAGATACCCCTGGCGCCCCCCCCCCCCCCCCCTTGGGTGTGCTGAAACCCGCGCCTCCCTCGAGACATCCTCAGAATTTGCTCCGCCACCATCATCATCATCATCATCATCATCATCATCATCATCATCATCATCATCATCATCATCATCATCATCATCATCATCATCATCATCATCATCAACATCAACATCAACATCAACATCATCATCATCATCATCATCATCATCATCATCATCATCATCATCATCATCATCATCGTCGTCATCATCATCATCACCATCCATCATCCATCATCCATCATCCATCATCCACCATCCACCATTCACCATTCACCATTCACCATCACCATCATACTCACATCGTACGATTACCATACCATGGTCATCACCATGACAATCCCCATCATTGTCTAGTGCAGAGAGGAGGAGTGGAGGGGAGAGGTCTGGCGCGGTCTGAGACTTGTCATTCACTGCGTGGAGCTCCCCATATGTGCATCTATTCGCATGGACCTGTCCGCCGTGAGCGTGAGTGTGCAGGCGCAAGAGTTTCGAATATAAGCGGGCGTGAGTTGTGATGGTCTGGTCATGAATCTAACTGCGAGCGAATTGGAGTGTGAATGAGTCTTAGTAGTACGAGCGCGTCTCTGCGCATGAGCCTGGGGCCTCCTGGGGCCTCCTGAACCCTCCTGGGGCCTCCAGGAGCCTCTTGGGGCCTCCTGGGGCCTCTTGGGGCTTCGAGTGGCCTCCTGAGGCCTCCTGGAGCCTCGCGTGGTCTCCTGGAGCCTGCGTGGCCTCCTGGGACCTCCTGGAGAAGATTTGTGCCCCAGGAGAGGCCCAATCTATTGGAACAGACGTACATAAAACATTGCGGATTGGAGCCACAGGAGAAAGGCAGTCTATAGGAACACAAGTAAAACACCAAGGACCCGTGCCCCAGGGGAGGCTCAAAACATGCGTAAAACTTGTAGGACTGTATACACAGGAGAAGGACAATCTATATAAACATGCGTATAATATCAAGGATTTGTGCTCCAGGTGTGACCCAATCTATAGAATCATACGTAAAAAACATGGGATTGGAGCCACTCCTGTTGCCTTCTGAGGCCTCCTGCTCCTGGAGCCTCTCGGGGCCTCATGTTGCCTTCCGGGGCCTCCTGGCGCTTCCTGTGGCCTCCTGGGGCCTCCTATGGCTTCCTGGGGCCTCCTGGAGCTTCCTGGGGCCTCCTGGAGCCTCTTGGGACATCCTGTGGCCTCTTGAGTCTTCCTGTGGCCTCCTGATGCCTCCTTGGACCTCATGTGGCTTCCTGGGGCCTCCTGGAGCCTGCTGGAGCCTCTTGTGGCATCCTGCGTCTGGCCACCCAAACAGGCAAACCGATCGAGAAATCTCTCAAAATCTGGTATCCCTAGGAGTGCGAAAATGAGCGCCTCGCTCGAGACATCCTCCAAATCTGCTCCGAAAGCGGAGGATGTTGGGCATGCAAACAGGCAAACCGCTCAAGACATCCCCGCCGTTTC